CCTATTTTCTGCTTCCCACAGTACTTGGGATGGCAGACACACACCACCCCGCCCAGCTTTTTCCATTGATATGAGGTCTCATGAACTTTATTGCCTGGGCTGGCCTGAAATCACAGTCCTCTGGATCTCTGCCTCCCAGGCAACTGGGGATGACAAGCATGCACCACCACTCCTGGCTTCATATATGGTTTTTTTGTTGTTTTTTGTCAGCACTAGGGTTTGAACTCAGGGCCTCAAGCTTGCAAGGCAGGCACTCTACCTCTTGAGCCCCTCCACCAGCCCAGTGGAGTATTTTTATATACTGAAATCATGACATTATTTTTTCCTTTTACTCTGATAATGATAATTGCTGGAAGTCTTATTTACTTATTACAGAGGTTGTTCTTAGTGTTTGGTATGTGGATGGTTGTCATGGGAACAAGCTTGGAAAAGGAGGTCAGCGGGTGGCTATTGAAATGGTTCAGGTGAGAGAGAATGGAAAGAAGTAGTCAGGACTCAGATATATTTTGGACTTGCTGATGGAGAGGATGTGTGGTAGCCAGAGGGAGCAGATGGACAATAAAGGGAAAGGAAAGACTCAAATATGCATTTTAGATTTCTGGCTTTATTATTTTAAAAAAATGTGGTCAAGGAATGGCTCACCTGCCCAGTAAGTTTGAGGCCCTGGGTTCAAATCCTAGTACTGCCAAAAAGAAAATTGTAGTTTCTCCACATCCTCACAGCACTTGTTATTTTCTGGGTTTTGATAGTAGGCATTTTAATTGTTGGTATGTAATTGTTTTGATTTGTGTTTCCATCTTCTCATAGGCTGCTTGGCCATTTGGGTATCTGTGGAAAATGTCTACATCCTTGCCCATTTTTAAAAATTGGGTTTGTTTTGTTGTTTTGGGGTAGTATAAGCACTTTATGTATTCTGAATATTAATCCTTTATCTGACACTTAATTTGCAGGTATTTCCTTCCATTTCATGGGCTGCTGTTTTACTCTGTGTTCTGGGTTTATTTTTTTTTCTTTAGTGCTGGCGCTTGAACCCAGGACCTTGTGTATGGTAGGCAAGCACTGTACCACTGAGCTGCACTCCAAGCTTAATAGTGTTCTTGTGTATTAACACAAGAGTTATTACACAAAGTAGTAATACAAAAAATAACACAAAGTTATTTTTTGAGGTACTTGGAATGAAACCCAGGGCCTCCCACATGTCAGACAAGCCACAACCCCAGGCCCCAAAGTTGTAGATTTGGATGAAGTCCAACTCATATATTTGTTACTGGCTTTGGATTTTACCTCAATGATAATAAACAGTAGTGACTATTATAGTGATTATTCCTTCTTTGCTTTAGTGGGAGAAGGAGATGAAGGAAAAGATGGAAGGAAAAAAAGGCATTATTATTATTATTACTATTATTATTGTTTTGGTTAGGACCTGGGTTTGAACTCAGGGTTTTGCACTTGCAAAGCAGGCACTGTATTGCTTGAGCCACACCCCCAGTCCACTTTCCTCTGGTTATTTTGGAGATGGGGTCTTGTGAACTATTTGCCTGACCTGGCCTTGAACCTGGATCCTCCAGATCTCAGCTTCCCAAGTAGCGAGGATTATAGGCGTGAGCCACCAGTGCCCCACTACAAAAGGCATTTTAAACTGATTTATGCATACTCAGTAAAGGACCAGTGAGGATACCAAGAAAAAAATCATTTCAACACAAAGGGATGACATGGAAGTCATGTGCATGTGTGTGTGCATGTGTGTGGTGTGCACGCGTGCCATGACTGTTGTCATAGAATTGAGGTGGAAAGGAAATGCCTAGAATTGTCAGAGGTCTTTACAGAAGAAGAAGCTAGAAGGAGTAGGAAATGTCCAGGCAGAGCAGGGGAGGAAGGGAAGCTGACAGGGGAAGCAGCGTGTGGAAGTAAATGTTGATATTCACAGCCCCATGGAAAAATGGAGAAAGTGGTGAGGAGACCTGGGAAGGGTGGGAGGTAGTTAGAGCGAGACCCAACTGTGCAGCTGTGTGAGAGCCTGTGTCATGTTATAAGCAATAGGGAGTCTTTAACTTACTTTATTAAGTGAATAGTCCATGTTCATTATAAAAGCACAAGTAATGAAATAAAAACCACTGGCAACATCAAATACTCTTATGTAGAGAGAAGTTAGTAACTGGATGATGCTTTGGAAAGTTCGTCCAGTGAGAGAGGGGAGAGACTAGAGGAGGAGATGGATTCAAGGTTATCACGACGGCACCCATGAGAGATAAGGGCTGAACAAAGTAGCAGTGGAACTGGGCATGGTGATGTACGCCTATAATCCTAGCTCTTGGGCGTGGAGGCAGGAGGATGATGAGTTCAAGGCCAACCTGGACTATATAATGTGACCCTCTCTCAAAACACAAAACAAAACAAAAAGTAGCAATGGAGGTGAAGGGCTAGGGAAAGAGCTAATCACTTCTGAGGGGGAGTCAACAAAGTGTAGTGACTAATTGGATGTAACAGAGCAAAAAGTGGGTGATCCTGAGATTTCTAGCACAAGAGAATGGCTAGGCTGTTATGACTTTACAAACACCAAAGTCCTAAGATGAGATTCAGAGCAGCTAAACTCTATGGGGGCCAGTGCCAGTGGTCACATCTGTAATCCCAGCTACTCAGGAGGCATAGATCAGGAGGATTGCAGTTCAAAGCCAGCCTGAGCAACTAGTGTGAGACACTATGGTGGAGTGGCTCAAGTGGTAGAGCACCTGGCTAACAAGCATGAGGCCCTGAGTTCAAATCCCAGTACTGCCAAAATAAATAAGTAAATTGTAAGGGGATGGGGTTTATATTGAAGTCTGGGCTTTGCACTGGCTAGGCATTCACTCTATCGTTTAAGCCATATTCCTAGCCCCAAAATGAGTACTTTTAGGGTTTGTTTTTTGATTTTGGAGTCTAGAGCTTGGGTATTCTTTGCTTATGGATTCTACTGAACTCTACAGTCTCTGCTCAGATACTCAGGTACTGTGGCAACCAAGAATTAGACAAGTCTAGGACAATGAATATAAAATCCACTAATTCCACTGTTAATGAGAAATAACTCACTAAATTCCATTTAAAAACATGTATTTGCTAAATCTAGTTAGATATATGGGGATTACTCTGATTCTTTATTGCTATGTTTATTATTTTTCATAATGAAAACATTTAACAGGAAATATTTAGCTAATCTTATCTTGTAGAGTGTAAGATAATCTCCCTCCCTTCCCCCTCCCTCCCTCCTTCCCTCCCTCCCTCCTTTCTTGTGGTGCTGGGGATCAAACCCACAGTCTCATGCATGCTAGGCAAGTGTTCTGCTCTGAGCTACATCCCCAGCCCTAGAGCACATAAATTTCTAATGAGCCCATTTGGCGCAGTTTCATAGGGAATCTCTGGATCTGTAATTGGGTGGGGGGTGCTCCTGTCTATTCCCAGTTTTTAAGGGACGTTATTTGGTCCACTAAACAGCCAGGGGAGGGAGGGTGATAGTAAGTTGCAAAATAAGATTTCAGGATGGGGGATGTAACAGTGGTACAGCTCTTGCTTAGCATGTGGGAGGCACCAGATCTTATTGATCTCCAGCACTACAATACAAATAAGTAAAATTTTTATTTGAACTGGAGCACTGGATATGTCTTCATTCTATTAAAACATGGAAAAATATTATTTTTCTTTTTTTTTATTTTTGAAGCAGGGCGTCTCTGTGTAGCCCAGGCTCATCCTCCTGTCTCTGCCTCCCTAGTGCTGAGATTACAAGTGCATCTTGCCACCATGCCTTGCAGAAAAGGATTTTTTAAAAGCATAATTATGACCCCACATCTTCCATTGGAAAGACTGAAGACTGATTTCAGTCTTTCTAGTACAACCCTAAGGTCTCTGCATTATCTTTCTTTTTGACCTGCTCACGTTTTTTAGTTACAAGTCAGAAAACCCAAATTATTGCCAATCCTGCCTGTGCCTTGGTGGTTTAATCACTCTGAGTTTGTTTCCTCATCAGCATAACTGCCTTGCCAATTTCACAATTATTGAGGGACTAAACAAGGTAATGGGGCTAGCAAGCATGAAGTCCTGAGTTCAAACTTCAGTACTGCCAAAAAACAACAAGGGAACGGATAATTTGATTTTTTCACCCTTTTGACAGGATCTTGCTAAGTTGCCCAGGCTGGCTTCCAACTCTTTTGTCAACTCCCCCTGATGCAATTACAAGGTTACAGCACCATGCCCAGTTTGCAAACGCTCTTTGAAAAGTACAAATGCACAACATATAAGTGAACCATTACAATCATTCGCAAAGCCTTATTTATAACTTTAGATATGACATATGGTTGAGTGAGCTTAAAGTACCTTAAGGTGAGCGTCTTCACTTTCTGAAAAGAAGGAAAGAATAATTTCCTTAGAGACATTCAGGGTCTCAGAATCCAGCATTTGCTGAACTCCAAGCTACCATAGATGCACAGATGAATAAACTGCATCCCTGCCATCAGGAATTACAGTTCCTCCACAGTGGCAATACGCTTTGCTAGAGGAGAGAGCGACTTGCTGTCCACTTGCAGAACTGCACGCGCTGCAGACGGGCAGCAGAGGGCAGAGGAGGCCTGGCTTGGCTCTGGAGGTCGACCATGGCCAAGGCTAAGGGTGGAAGCACCTGCGCCCCTTTGCGACTGAGGCTTGGAAGGCAGTCCTTCTGCCATTCCCCACTCTTGGAGCCCAGAGAAGATAAAATATCCCTTCCCACCACTCCTGCAGACATCAGTCATGGTGAGGATTTTGGACTCAGAGCTTCCCCACCTTTCCCTCTGAAGGAGCCACTGCGCCCCCCAGCGGAAGCACGGCGGCAAAACTGCAGCGGGGCCCCCAAGACGCAGGACACCTTAGCATCCTCCTCCTAAAGGCACAGGACGGCCTCTGGCCCTGACTCCGCCCCCCGACGCAACCTCCTTCCTCGCCACCGATTGGTTGGCTTGTGAGCGTGAGGACGTTGCGTCGCGGGGCGGGGCTGACGCACGGTGCCTCTAAGTCCTCAGCGTAGATCCTTAGCCGCCGCCCCCACTGTGGCGCCGCATCCGCCTCGCACCTTATTTTAGAGGGTACCGGTGACAGCCGGGGCTTCGGGTGGTCGCGCAGCCTCGAGACGTCTCTGCCGATCCGCCTTTCCGAGCTGCTGGCTCTTCTGGGTCCGGTCCCTCTGAGGGGAAAATGGCGCCTGTGCCCCTAGGCGCGCGGGAGGAGCAGCTTCTGGGGTGTGGGTCGGGACCCCTTTCCCGGCTCCTCTTCCTCGCCCACGCGGTCCTCCTGCTGCCCGCAGTCCGGGCGGGCCTCTGCCCCGCGCCCTGCTCGTGCCGCATCCCTGTGCTGGACTGCAGTCGCAGAAAGCTGCCCGCGCCCAGCTGGAGGGCGCTGTCGGGACCGCTGCCCCCCGACGCCACCAGCCTGTGAGTAGAGTGGCCCAACGGGGGACCCACGAAGGGGCCTGGTCCGAGGGCGTGGAGGGAACTGGTTTGGGGCGGTGGGAACCTGAGAGAGCGTCTGGGGACTTGTATGAAGACCAGGCCATCTGATTTGCCGGGCTGGGGAGGAGTTGGGCCAGGGGTATTTGATTATGGACTCAGGGTCCTGGGCACTGGATATACATTCTAGATGGTTGGGGGGCGGGCCTCAGATCCTCAAGCACGTGATCTTATAAACACGATGTCCACAGACTCATGAACTGGCTTTTGTCACCCCTTCCTGTATTGTCTCATTTGGTGTTGCAGTTTTGATCCCTGATCGCGTTTCAGGAGATCCATTACTAACCCAGAATCTCTTTGTAAATTGGAATTCTTGAGCCCATTCAGGCATCACCATGAAGAAGGGAAGGGGTATTTTTTATAAAATCACGTGATGCTTGAATTGTTTTGAGTGCATTTCCTTGTGGCCAGAATCCAAAATATTAAACTAACTCTTTGTCTAATACTGAAAAAGAAGAATAGCAATTGAATGAGTTCTGCTGGAGTCCCCGCTGCTGGGTTTTCATCTTGATGGGCCTGTATTAGGTAGTGGCACCTAGAGAGTGAATTGGTGTCAGTCAGCCTAGTGCCATTAGAAACAACAGTAAGCATGACTCGCAATTACAGGATCTTGGCTACCAATATACAGTTATTCCTCTGTCACCTGCTGAACAACATGTTTGTTAATTGACTTCTAATAGAGTCGTCTCCAAAAAACAATCGTCACTAAAAGAAAGAATACAATTAGAATACAGAGACTATTTGGGTTTTCATTGCACATAGAATACGCACGGAAGGTCTGTTTGGTAGAAGTTAAGTATTTATTTACATATAGGTTAGCATAGATAGGAAAGAAAGCTACTTCATATAGTCATGGAGAAAATTAACCAAATGAGTTTGGCGGTGTGGTTCAAGTGGTAGAGGCCTGTTTAGCAAGTGCAAAGTCCCAGTTCAACCCGAGTTTGCCAAAATAAAAATGAAAGAAAAAAATCGGCCAAATGTTGAAGCAAACATAGAATTACAATGTAACGTGCTTCTGTTATATATTATACCTTCTGTTGTTTCAGTGACACCTGTAGCTAGTTCTGGTTGTTTTGACTCATTTTAAAATTCTTGCCAGTGCACAGTGTAGTCTGAAGTAAACCTAGCGTATCATCTTTGTTATACAGCAAATGCCTTTTTCTAAGAAATTTTTGGAACAGATTATGACAGTAAATCTGGCACCGGTTTAAACACAATATGATTTCATGTATCTGTGGTAGAAATAAATGTGGCCTAGTGGGCTGGAATATAGTGCCTACCTCCCATTGTGAAGCCCTGAGTTCAACCCCAGTACCACCAAAAAAAAAAAGAAAGGAAAAGAAATGTGGCCTGCTTTTTAAGATCCCCCCATTGGGGCTGGGGATATAGCTTTGTGGTAGAGTGCTTGCCAAAATGTGAGAGTTCTTGGTTGGATGTCCAGTACTAAGAAATAAAAACAATCCTCTGTTGTTATACAACGATAATTAGAAATAATTTTAGGTAAGATGTATTTATATCTAAATTTGATTTTTGATTAATCAAGGCATATTCTCTAAAGCCAAGCAACATTTAGAAATTTGTTTTGATTTTGAAACAGGATCTTGCTATGTAACCAGGCTGGCCTCCAACTCACCATCCTCCTGTCTCAGCCTCCAGAGAGCTGGGATTACAGATGTGCACCACCACCTAGATGTCCTATTATGAAATTAACATTTTCTGTTGCAGTGAAATGTTTTGGAGTGCAGTTCTGTTGTAGAAATGTAATTGGAGAGCTAGAGGCATAGCTCCAGTGGTTGACTGCTTACCCCAGGTTTAATTCCCAGAACCACAAAAAAAGAAAGCAAGCAGAAAAACTCTTAGAATAGTAAAAGCTCAGATTGTGCTATTTTAATCTGACAAATGAAACATTCTTCAGCAATTTCTGTTAGCTATAAAATCATCAAGTACACTTGCGTTCACTTATATAATCCTGGATTTTTTGGGGGGTGGCATTGGGGCTTGAACTGAGGGCCCCACCCTTATGAGGCAGGTGCTCTATCACTTGAGACACTCTGCCAACCCTGTTTTTGGATTTTTAAGACTCATGCAGTGCTCTTAATAATCTAACTCAAGTCTTTAAACTTTTGGTGCTCATCAAAATGATTATGAACAAAATTTGTTAATTTTCCCTCCTTCCCCCCGCCCCCAGTGCTGGGGATCAGCACATGGTTTTTTGCATACTAGGCAGCTACTCTGCTAGGTAGCTATACCCTGGCCTAATTCTGCTTTTCTGAAACCTATTCATATACTTTTAATGAGAGACTCTCTTAAGATATTTTTTGGTTTTTTTTCAAAACTTAACTGGATACTCTAGGTGCAAGCTCTGTAGCATTTTGCTTTAATTCCAAGTGCATACATGCAAACCACTGTGAGACCAAGAATATTGGTTAACTTTTTTTATGACTAGTTTTCACTATTCTTCATTTACTTTTTTCATCCTTCATTCATGTAGTACATTTGTTACAGTTGATAAGTAAATATTGATACATGATAATCACAGTTCATAGTTTAGAGTTTACTTTTTTTTTTCTTTGTGGTATTGGGATTTGAACTCAGGGCCTTGTGCTTGTTAGGCAGGTACTCTACCACTTGAGCCACATTCCAGCTTTTAGAGTTTACTCTTTCTGTTGTACGTTTTATGGGTTTTTAAGTTTGTATTGATACATACCCATTTTATGGTATCATACAGAATGGTTTTACTGTCCTACAAATCTTTATCTCACCTATCACCTCTCATTCCTCCCCTCCCCCCAAATCCATGGCAACCACTGATCTTTGAACAGTTTCCTTAGTTTTGCCTTTTCCACCATGCCATATAGTTGGTGTTATGGTTTGAATATGAATTGTCCCTCACAGGCTCATGCACTGAACTCTTGGTCCCCAGCTGGCAGCCCCATTTTGGAAGTTCTAGAAACTTGGGGAGGTACAGTCTAGTTGGAAGAAGGTTACTGAAGCAGAAGGGTGATATGGTAGGAGGTGATTTGAACATCTTATACATTCCAGTAAATTTGCTAAGTGTGGTGGTGCATGCCAGCCATCCCAGCTACTTGGGAGGTGGAGTAGGAGGATCATGGTCTGAGGCTAGTCTGTTTGAAGTTGAAAAAAAGCAAAAGGACTAGAAGCATTGCTTAAGTGGTAGAGCGCTTGCTTAGCAAGTGCAAGGCCCTGAGTTCAATCCCCAGGGCCTTAATAAATAAATACAGGAAGTTTAAAATTCAGAAATTCAGGCTTTTGGGGGGTTTTGGGGTTGAACACAGGACTTTATACTTGCAAAGCAGGGACTCTCCCACTTGAGCCATGCCTCCAATCTGTTTTGCTCTGGTTATTTTGGAAATGGGGGTTCTTGAGCTATTCTCGCAGACTGGCCTTGAACCTTCATGCTCCCAATCTCATCCGATCAAGCAAATAGAATTATAGGCATGAGCCACCAATGCCTGGCTAACATCCAGCTCTTGTTTAATTCTCTGAAAATGAACTGTTTTTGTTTTTTGAGACAGTCTTCCTATGTTGTGCAGGCTGGTGGTCTCCAACTCCTAGGGTCAGGTGATCCTTCCACTTGTTCTGGGACTACAGGCCTATGCTATTGCTCTTGGCTTCTTGCAAATTTGTATTGCATGTAGAGAATAGAGATGTTGAAGAAAACTAAGAAGGAAATATTTTTTATGTAACTTTACTTTGCAGTCGGACAGTCCAGCTGAAATATAAAAACTCTCCACTGGCAGAGTGGCTCAAGCAGTAAGAGTGACTGCCTAGCAGGTGTGAGGCCCTGAGTTCAAATTCTGGTACCACCAAATAACAAGTGAATGAATGAATATATACATAGCATCCACTTGAATTGCTTTAAACCACAAGATGATGAAATGAAAATTAGTCCTCTTAAGAAAGGGTAGGACTGGAGAAGTGACTCAGTTGGTGGAGCAGCTCCCTTGCAAGCATGAAGCCCTAAGTAGAGATGTTAGGTTTTCCCTTCTACTAAAATCTTACACATTTATCTCAGTCATTGTTGTCTTTTTTACTACCTTTTTCTGTTATGACTTCATACTGTTTTTCATAATGCATCATAGAGAAGTGAGATTGACACTGGGGCTGGCCATTCAGTGAGGCTTGTGGGCCTCCATAGGCAGGAAACAAGGGGTGAATCTTCTTGCTATGGAAGTGTTCTGTTCAGGTGTAGAGTCAAGAGTGAAGAACTGTGCTCGTTCTGGAAAAGATGTAAACTTTTGGCATGTGAGTCGCTGTTTGATCACACTTGCCCTAGCATTGACCAGCATCTTTGAATTGTTTTTCTAATTTGATATGTTAAACTTCTCTTCTTTTTCCTTTCTAGTGCTAGGGATTGAACCCAGGCCTCACATATGCTAATCACACATTACCACTGAGTCGCTCCCCCCCCACCAACTTTTCATATCTTTTAGTTTTCTGTGGGCAATCTGTTTAATTCTCTTAACATTGACTGCACTAATTCTGTTTCCCTGAAATGGCACCTAATTTTAGATGTGAGACCCATTTGGAAAGAAGAAAATGTGCTAAGTATGCCCATAATAACTTTGATGTTCAGCCTTTGCCCATTTTGATATGATCTTGCTGAGCATTGGAACAATTGCTGAAGAATTAGGAAAGACAGGGCTCCTATTGAAAAGAGTAACCTAGGGACATTAACCTTGCCTTTGGCTCCATTCCCCAGCTTCCTATCTCTGCCCTCCTTCCCAATGAAAGGCATGGCAATGACATGGTATTTCTTTAAAATTATTAGTAGTACTTTGGTGCTAGGGATCTAACCCAGGCCTTTGCAGATGCTAGGCCATTGAGCTACATCCCTAGTCTCTTTCCAGTGAAATATGTAGCCAAGAGTCTATCCAAGAATCTATAATTATGGTTTGCTGTGT